TTATTTCTATGCTTGGTCGGCTCAGGAGATTTTTGTGGCCTAGCATATGTGCTGATTCCTTAAGTTTACGAATTTTCCAATGGTGTTCCTTGTCTATGATCTCAGCCTGATCCCACAGAGGGCGGTGATCTCCCTTCTCTCTCCGTATGTGGTCAGCTATGCCTGATTTTTCCACTTCCCCTCGTGTTACAGCTTTCTGGTGTTCTTGAAGCCTTACCTTGAGGGGGCAGCCTGTCTCTTCTTTATATTCCTTTCCGCAGCTGCACGGGATAGCGTACACACAGTCTTTAGTCATGTTCTCCTCTATGAGGGGAGGGGTCTCACTCAACCACTTGAAAAAGGCCGGAACGTACAACGGCCGAAACGTTGTGATAAATATGGCGACAAAGATGAGGACATTAGTCCGAATAATGTAAATAATGTACATAATACCTCATCTCAGAAATATAGACAGATTATTATTAATATTTATGAATTCGTATGCCTCCACGGCCCCAATTATTTGGTAGTAATCACTGAGGAATAAATGACAGTAAAGCTCCTCATATGTCAAAAAATTCCGCTTTTCACAAAACACACCAGTAATGGCGTTCTCTTGAACAATTACAATAATTTATCAGATTCCCAACTCTTCCGACCTCTAATCTAGCGTTTTTGGTAATTTTCCAAGTACTCATACTATTATGGGCATAACTTATTATACATTATTACAGTATCTCGAACGTCTCAAGTGTCGAACAAATCGGTTTTCGAACAGAAAATTCGATATGAGAATGCCTCGCTTATCAAACAAAATTTCGGTTTTCGAAAAACATTGTCGAACCAAGTGAACACGAATGGAATAAATTATGCGTCAACATTGATGTTGACAGTAACATCAATCAGGTAAGTCACAAATTTAATATTTATATTCTCTTCTCTCTCTCTCTCTCTCTCTCTCTCTCTCTCTCTCTCTCTCTCTCCACACACACACACACACACACCAGATATCAACGGCTCTAATAAAAACAAAACAAGCATTTTCTCGTTTCTGGTCGTCGGATCTGATAAGGTAACTGAATTTATTGCTTCTCAATCTCAAAATCCCAACGCCTTTACTTTACACACATTTTTCTCTTTCATTCCGTCCATAGGCAGCCGAAGCCAACGCACGTCGAATTGTTTCGGATACTATTAAATGCACACACACACACACACACACACACACACACACACACACACACACACACACACACACACACACACACACATATATATATATATATATATATATATATGATGGACTCTCCCGTCAATTTCGAAGTATGAGGATCTGACAACATCATTCAATTTTTATGTTTGTATCGTATCTTCAGTCCCGCTAGTGATCTGCATATAAGTTCACATATTCTGCAACAACAAGGATCTTGGGACATAGCAACAAGGATATTTGCTAACGCTTTTCGCCGTTGTCTTCGCCTCTTAGCCGGACAATATGGCTGATTTTAAAATTTCTGATACCTTTCTGGTACAAATATCAACAGTTATTTCTATCCAGTGCAACTCGCCCGAATTTAGTATGAGGCACATTCATGGCTGAGAGGTTACACTTTAGCTTGTCTTTATACCTGAGCTACAACCGTCTAACATTCCTTTGTCCATTGTCATGCGGTCAATATATATATATATATATATATATATATGATTGATTTACTTTCTCGTCGATTTCGACGAATGAGAATCTGAAAACCTTATTCAGATTTGTATGTTTGTATCGAATGTGACATTCAGTCCCGCTAGTGAGTTGCATACAAGTTCACATATTCTGCAACCACAAGGACATTGAGAGATAGCAACAGGGATATTTAGCCGGTCAGTACAACTGATTTCGAAATTTCTGATACCACCCTGACACAAATATCTCCAGTTATTTCTATCCAGGGCAACACGCTACACACACACACACACACTCACACACACACACATATGTGTGTGTTTGTGTGTAATCGTGTAACAATACTCAAATATTGCTGCATTTCCCACAAGATAACTTCCATATGCACGTCCAGTTTGATTTACGATTCAAGAAACAAGATACTCAGTTCTGAATTTATATAAACTTAACCTGACTGATGTGTGGTGCGGCTGCAGCTACTTGTCATGCTTGATTGCAAACACAGGGGCTTCCTTTTTTCTCTCTCTTTTCTGGCTGCTAATGAAAAGACTATGCATGGTCGTCAGTAAGAGGATGACCCCGAAATGCGATTTGCAGATCAGGAACACAAGCATCAAGCATACTCGGGAGCTTAAATATCTGGGAAGCGTTTTGACAGAGGACGGTAAGTGCGACACTGAGATCCGTAGACGTATTGAGATGGCCAAGGACGCATTCCAAAAGCTGGGCAGAGTATTGCGAGACAGGAGGATTTCTTTGGTAACAAAGAAAAGAATACTGAGCTGTTACGTGACATCTGTCCTTCTTTACGGCAGCGAATATTGGACGATTTCCTCAAAGATGAAGAGGAGACTCTGGGCGACGGGGATGTGGTTCTACAGAAGAAGAATAAGAATAGCATATCATGGGCCGAGCGTGTGAGCAAAGGTCTTAGAGAGGATGCAAACAAGGAGGAGTCTTATACTTAACATCAGAAAGAGACAGCTGAAGTTCCTGGGACATATAATGAGGAAGGAGGGCCTGGAAAATTTGATACTCACAAGTCGAATAGAGGGAAAAAGAGACAAGGAAAAAACAATGCGTGACATACCTGGCGGACTTAAGCAAGTGGATGACAGAACGTGGTCTTGGGGGAGGAAGCAGAGGGAATGAACTTGCTGGGAGCTGCAAGGAGTAGAGAGAGGTGGAGAGCCATGATCGCCTACGTCCTGAAATGACATGGCACAGAGAAAGAGAGAAAGAATGAAGCCTTACTGTTATCTCTCTACAACTTGAACTTCGGATAAATTGAAACAATATAGCGTTGACAACCTTTTTAGGCTTCTATAAAAATTCTTTGTTGCTTGCATTAACCTTTTATGCACATAAGCATACTCCCGCAAACACTATAATACCTTGTGAATTAGTTTGACTCGTTGTGTATAACATCGAACAAGATATCGTCAAATACGCCATCTATATACACAATAAATACTAATCCTGGGTATGACGATAAACTACGTCCAGCAGCAAGGCCTCTGATCGTGGTGGTTTTGAGGAGCATGGAACCACGTCTTAATTGCTGGTGTTCCCAAGTCCACCCCACCCCGTGGTAGTAACACTCATTTGGACCACAGCTAGTCGTAAATAGTGACCCCTCCAAAAAAAAATGATGCAAAACTCTAAGAAAATAAAAAAGTACATTTACATAGTAAAAAAATACAATCAATACATTTCCTCAGTAAAAAAAAAATTCTCTGCAGTAGATTTTTGTAAATAAAAAAAATTACCCAAACTCCCAAGAAAATTAAATTTCGACATCAAATCACCCATAATGATTTAATATGCCGTTAAACAAACAAATAATAAATACTTGGAAACGTCACTGCCTGTATATAGAATCTGCAAATAAAATAAGATGAGACTACTCTGTCATAAGATAAAGTCTAACTATGTTTAAAATTTAAAGTTTGCTTTAGCTGAACTTTAACTAATCCCTAATCAGCAGGAGTCGAATGTTAAATGATTTTTAACATACATGCTTTGGGGGAAAATGTGTGACAAAATGGAAAAAGTTTTTGTGTGACGCGTTTCGTTCTTTAGGACTTACATTTAAAAAAAAACAATACATTAAGTGATTTAGTTGTTCACCGTAACGAGACTAACCACAATTTTGACAAAAAAATGCTACTCTGATCAAAGGAGAAAACAATTCACTAAGGCGAAAATGGTTAGAGAGTGCCTTGATCGCAGATCTACTATTATCACAGTGTTGAATATCTAATAAAAAAAGTGATGGAAACAAAAAGAAAAAGAATTTAAATCGATTAGGGCATATACGAAAAATCTAAAATTTAAAATTCCCAGCATCCCTCATTCGCGCGCATGCGTAGTCGCACCTACATAACAAATTTAGTTCGTTTAAGTCCTTAATGACGAAACCCGTCACACGAAAATTTTCCCATTTTGTCATACATTTTTTCCTAAATATTGTTCTTGATATATAACAATTTATATATCGTTATCATATACATGCTTAAAAAATGGTTTTTAAACTTGGGAATTTTAATGATGGGAGAGAAAAATAAATGGATCGTTTTTTTTGTTTCTTTTTTTTTTTGTTGTTTCTTTTTTTTTTTTTGTTTCTTTTTTTAACTGCACATAGCGATGAAATAATGTTCCGTTGATTTTTTTCCGTATAAAATATGTAATCGTTTTCATTCTTTTTCAAGACGAAGGCATTTCACGAGCATCACCATGCCGCAGTTAGTCGTCTTTTCATTCTTTCATCACTTTTTTTAATCGTTTCACTCGAAGCAAAGCGATAAGACAACTAGAATAAAATGGATTACAGGGAGTGAAAGAGAAAGTGAAAGTAAAAGAGAATGAGTGGGATTGAGGAAATAACCAAAAAAAAAGAAACAGAGTTCAAGAAAGAAAAACATGGCGACTGACGTTGCATTTAAATTTTTGAAGATTGTAGTTATTGTAATAAACTGTTGTATGATATCTGTCCTTGAAGTAGGTAAACCATGCTAGTAGTGGACTACTTAGACAGCATATTACTACAATAGTGTCCAACGTATTTATGGGGATGTCCGCCTGTACGACAGCGAATGTTAGACAATCTCCTCAAAGAGAAAGAAGAGTGCTATATACCTTATCTATGAACACTAATGGGTATGTCCCAATCCTCATAAATACGTTGGACACTATTGTGAGTGGGGGGTAATATGGTGTCTATGTAGTCCACCACTAGCAGTGGTTTACCTACTTTACGCCGCTGGCGAGTATTGTATTTTGTTGATGTTATAAAGATTACCATTTCATTTCCAACCTCCGTTTTGGTTATTCTTCGTTCAGTAACCGTTTCTTGGTTACAACAGAAAAAGAAAAAAAGAGAAAAAAAAAAGAAAGAGAAAAAAATAAAGGGAAAAAAGAAAAAGAGAAACAGAAAAAAAGAATGAGAGAAAGAAAGTTGTATACACCTTATCGATGAAATAGAAAAAAGAAAGAGAAAAAAAGTTATATACCGTGTTTATGAACACTAATGGATATGTCCCAATCCTCATAAATACGTTGGAAACTATTGTAAGTGGAGGTAATATGTTGTAATATGTTGTTTTTACCCCTCCCCTCCACATACGACGATTTGTAGATATGGGGACTAGTTAGGATTTTCATAGAGACAATGAGGTATTATGGTGAATGTAGTAAGAAAGGTAAGTAAGAATGCGTTGTTTTGGTGTTAGGAATATTGTTTGTATGCTTGGGTCAATGCTTGTGGCTAGCTAAGTTTAAATTAAGACAGGGCTTGGAAAATCTGATACTCACAGAATAGATGGAGGGAAGGAGGGACAGAGGAAAGCAGCACGTAATGTAATGAGCCAATGGATGGTGGAACAAGGTTTGGGGAAAATAACAAAATGACAAAACTTATTAAGTGCAACAAGCGACAGAAAGCTGTGGAGGGCCATGATCGTCTACATCCTGAAAGGACAAGGTACATAAAAGAAGAAGTTGTCAGGGAAGCACGAAGTCAAAAGGGAAGGAAATGCGAGGAGGAGAGTGCGAGAAAATAAACTGCTAGAGTAGTAGTGGCGGTTGTAACTAGCTATTTCAATAGTAAAACAGTGAGACCTAATTACCATTCTAGTAGCACGCTTAAATTCGTGGAGTCAAGATACCAAAAAAAGTATATTTTTCTTTTCCGCTTTTGCTACAAAAACACAAAATCAAAATCAGATCAGTATTATATGGGTGAGAACGATCGCAAACCGCCTTGACATTATTATTAAATTGAACGCGAAATGGCCTTGTACCTCAACTTAGTGTGTTTTTAACGGGATTGTCTTAACAAAATCCTCTACGTAATCCTTTTTTGCTCTCTTATAGCAACAAACACATAAAAACAAATAAAAGAAACGCATTTTTCCCGCCTATAGATTGTAGTACATATATATATATATATATATATATATATATATATATATATATATAAGAGCTGGCCACTCTTATTCGAGGATACACATCTACTGTGGAGGCTAGCCAGTCCCTATTGCAGACGCTCGCTCAGGCATATTTGTGTTTGTTCAACACCCACAGAGCCCACCTGTGGTTTACACTGCAACTATGCTGAGCAGACCTTAGTTACAGTTTCTGGGAGATAAACGTGTTATCTAGCGTGATCAGCAGTTTGAACAAGGCCAGCACGTTCAAGCCCTCGGCCACGATGACTTGTGACTTCGTGCTAGCACAACTATCGACGGCCCACCCCCAAGGTTTCCGTCTACCCAATTTCCCTTACAAGACTTGGGTCAACCCGTGGTATGGTTTTTCAGGCACTTCCCAAAGGTGCCGCACTCTGGGATCGCCCCCACCCACCTCCATACCAATAACATCAGGAACTGGGGTGAGATTTGAACACGGGTCTCATGGTCAAAAAGCTAACGTTCTAACCACTCGGTCACTTGAGTGTGAAAGAATAAGAAAAAAAAGGAGCGAGAACAATAAAATAAAAGGAATCAAGAAGACAGTAGATAACGATTGACATTGCATTTAAATTTTTGAAGATCAAAGCTGACTGGAAAGAAAGAAGCCGGAAGAGAGTTCCACAAGCAAGAAGTGTGAGATAAAAAAACTGCTAGCATAGAATTTACGGTTACATGTAGCCATTTCAACATTGTTTGCCATTCTCATACCGCGCTTAAATTGTTAAAGTCTTGGTACCATAGAGGAACACATTTCAGTCTCTTGGTGAGATTTCATTGTTTTGTAAAGCCGGCAGAATAGCCATACTGTCAGTATTGATGCCATATATCCAGGGTGTTGCAGCAAAATCCGACACTTGGTAAAAAGAAAAAGAAATAGGCAATAAAAACAAAACTTTATATGCAGATACCCGACAGTTTTTCTCTCTACCCTTTTTCAGGATGGAATATGAGCGCAGAGCAGCGGTAGTAGCTTCTTTTCGAGTCGGGAAGGAGCCTGCGGAAGTGATGGCCTGGTTTGGATTCAAGACGACCATGGTCATGGACATTTGGAGGAAGTGGAAGGCGTGTGAGAACAACGTCGAGTTTACTGCCAAACGAAAGGCCCACAACGTTCGTTCGTCGGCCGTTAAGACCGGCGACTTCGTCTCCGCCATCAAAGAGACAGTCGACAATGATGGAAGCCAGAGCTACGCCAAGATCGTCGCTGACATGGGCTGTCACAAGTCGACGATCTGCCGAACGATCAAGAAGGACATTGGTTACTCCTCCTACCGCAAGTATTACCGCATGATCATCACGAATGCCTCCAAGGAGTCGAGGAAGGTCAAGGCGGCGGCTTTGCTGAACGAGCTCAAACACGGGTCTGCCGGGATAATGAGGTTCTTCTCTGATGAAATGCATTTTTGTACTTTCATAGTGTTTTGACACCAGTTTGGCGGTTAACTATTTGCCCATAGCTGGGACCCTAACAGGCGCTACCACCCCGGCTCAGGCTGGACCTGGAAACAACACCAATTAAGAAGTGGTTCTACGCTCCTCAAAACCTACTGATCAGAGGCCTTGCTGCCGGATGGTTATTTATCGTTAAACCCAGTACATACAATTTTTTTGCAAAATAAATTATTAATGTTCCCAAGAAAATTAAATTTCAGCATTAAATGACCCATAAAGAGTTGATATGCCTTAAAACAAACTACTATTACTACTATTATTATTATTATTATTCGTGAGGTTTCTTTCCATTATTAATATTATTGTTGCTGCTATTGTTAAATATGATGGCGGCGCTGATGTTATTAATGGCTACCTTTTCCGTCTTCATTGCCACTCAGGTTATTCGGCCTCTTCTTTCTCTTGACTCATTTAATATACTTCTTTACCTATTTGCGTAAGTGTTGAAAAAGAAAAAAAAAATTAAATTTCTACTCCATTAATGCTGGCGCTGATGTGTTCTGTCAGCTTCTCTTCGTCTTTCTATATTTCGCTGATGTCTGTTTGCATTTTGGCGGGAAAATCAAAATAGACGTACTCTTCAAACTAAAGAAGAGAAGGGCGTTACTGTAGCCATTTCAAGATAAATAAATAAATAAAATGAAAAGTTTTTTTTTTAATGTGTGATAGATTAAAAACAAAGAGAAAGACTTTAAAATTGTTTTCGATTAATAAAGGAAATTGAGTGGAAACTGTAAAAATAGATAGAAAATGGCCGAAAATGAGAGATAGATAGATAGATAGATAGATAGATAGATATGAAAAAACTAAGATAGATAACACACTAAGATAGATATAAGCAGGCAGAGATAGACAGATATATGCACACACATGCATATAGATAGATAGATCGCTAGAGAGAGAGAGAGAGAGATATGAAAAGACTAAGATAGATAACACACTAAGATGTGAGCAAGCAGAGATAGATAGATAGATAAATAGATAGATAGATAGATAGATATGAATAAACTAAGATATATATAAATAGGCATAGATAGATAGATAGATAGATAGATAGATAGATAGATAGATATGAACAAACTGAAAAAGATAGATAGATATAAATAAACTAAGATATATATAAATAGACATAGATAGATAGATAGATATGAACAAACTGAAAAAGATACATAGATAGACAGATAGATAGATAGATAGATAGATATGAACAAACTGAAAAAGATAGATAGATAGATAGATAGATAGATAGATAGATAGATAGACAGATATTAAATGATTGAGTCAATGATGCAGGAAAAAGAAGAAAATAGCTATTAAACTGAAAGCAAAAATGAAAACAAAAGAATTTCAATCATAGAAAGGATGTCAGGAAGGAAAAGCTCAAAACGGACACCCCCCCCCCGCCTACCGTGCACCAAATCTTCGTTCATTAAGTGCAAAGGGCATTCTACTGCAGGCGGAACTTGTCACGTGACATGCGATATCAACGGTGTGTCGCTAATCCAATTTCTCGTTTTTTTGGGTTTTTTTTATGAAGCGTTGAATGTTTTATTGCAGCTTTGTCAAGAGGTACTAGTTTTGATCAAATAATCTCAAAATATACGAGAATATTTCCATTTTCTATTTAACTCAACATCTTTTGTTAATCGTCTCGGCTCCAAAATGGCTGTTACATAACTGACTGAACGCGCCATACAATATAAAATACACTTCGACTCTACCACTTCACTTTACAACATAGAAATCTTCTATGTCACCGTGTTCCTTCCATATGTTAGTAATCATGGCTCGCCACAGCTTTCTATCGTTTGTAGCTCTTAGAAATGTTTGTCTTTTTATTATCACTCTGTTTTACCATCCTAGCTCGTTTCCATCTGCACCCCCCTTGCCTTCCAAATGTCCATGATAGCTTACTTAACCTGTTTGAGAGGAAGTCATGGAGAGACATGATCCCCTATTTAACCTGTTTATCTGAATTGCTGACATAACCCGAACAAAGAAGCATGTCAAAGATTACTTAGAGTAACAAGTGAGGAAGTTGTGGAGAGTCTTGATTACCTATTTAACCTGTGTATCTGAATGAGTGGTAAAACAAGAACAAAGAAGGATGGTAAGATTACATAAAGCAACAAAAGAGAGGAAGTTGTGGAGAGTCATGATCATCTACATGACGAGTTCATTTGAATGGATAGTAGAGCAGGAAAGATGGATGGTAAAGGTTCAAAAGTTACTTAGAAAGAGAGGAAGTTGTGGAGACTTATGACCGTGTATGTATTAAAATGATATGGCACATAAAAGAGGTTAATCGGTGACAGAAGGAACAGCGAGGGATGGTAAAGGATAAAAAATTACAGCAACAAAAGAAAGGAAATTGTGGAGAGCCACAATCCCATACGTTCTGAAATATAAGGCAAATAAAAGAATTGAGTGGATGCCAAAACAAGGACAAAAACGAATGGTAATGAGTAAAAAGTTAGAGCCACAACAAACAGGAAGTTGTGGAGAACCATAATCGGTTACATATTGAAATATATGTCACATAAAAAAAGTGAATGGATAGCAAAACAAAGACAAAGTGGAATGGTAAAGAATCAACAGTTAATAGTTAAATTCAACAGAAGATAGAAAGTAGTGGAGGACCATGATCACCTATATATAACGTTTGCATTAATTTTTCTGGACACTTTTCTCATTTGCAATAACATTTAACTTGAGTATCGAAGGAGGTAACATGTCTAAGACACATAACGAGGAAAGAAGGCTTGGAAAATTTGACGCTCACAGGACATGTTGATATAAAAAAAGACGTAAGAAAAAACAGTAGCATACATAACAAGCTTATACAAATAAATGCCAGAACAGGGAATGAGAAAAATAGTAAAAAGACGAACACCAAGCTAGGAGCTACAAAGGATAGCATGTTGTGGAGAGCCATGATCGCCAACGTCAAGAAAGAACACGACAAGAAGAAGAAGAAGAAGAAGAAGAAGAAGAAGAAGAAGAAGAAGAATCATGTTAAAAAGAAATAGTACCTTTTCCTCATTTACTACGTGATCAATACGGAATAGTCCATAATTCACGAGGCAATTCTGAGAGAATTGGAAATCCTACTGGGAGGCCCCAATCAGAACAACAAAAGATACGCAGAGACACAGTACAAGGAAAAGAAATTACAAAATCTCCTACAGAAGTTAGCGTAGGAGAGCGAGAAGAAAGGACTAAGCATAAACTACAAGAAGACAGAATGCATGGTCATCAGTAAAAGGATGAGCCCGAAATGCGATTTACAGGTCGGGAACACTCGAATCAAGCAGACGCAGAAGTTTAAATATCTGGGAAGCGTTTTGACAGAAGTGCGACACTGAGATCCGTAGACGTATTGGGATGGCTAAGAACACATTCCAAAATCTGGGCAGAATATTGTAACACAGGAGGATTTCTTTGGTAACAAAGAAAAGAATACTGAAGTGTTACGTGACATCTGTCCTTCTTTACGGCAGCGGAAGAAGAGACTCGAGGCGACGGAGATGTGGTTCTACAGAAGGATGATAAGGATATCAAAAACCGAGCGTGTGAGCAACGATGAGGTCTTAGAGAGGATGCAAACAAATAGGAGGCCTATACTTAACACCAGGAAAAGGCAGCTGAAGTTTCTGGGACACATAATGAGGACGGATGCCTGGAGAATCTGATACACACGGGTCGAATAGAAGGGAAGAGAGACAAGAGAAAACAACGCATGACATACCTATTGGCCTTAAGCAAGTGGATGACAGAACGTGGTCTTGGGAGAGGTAGCAGAGAGAAGGAACTTGCGGAGAGCTTCATAGGACAGAGGAGGTGGAGAGCCATGATCGCCTACGTCCTGAAAGGACATGACACACAAAAATAAAAAAATACATTCCTGCTGAGAATATTGCGACCAGTTCGTCTAAATGCCCATGGAAAAAGCATAACTTTCTCCCAGCCAGGGGTTAAATAGTAAGATATACTGAGCTGTCTAGAAGTGGATAGCATCCAGTCTAAGAGAAGAGAAAAAAGAGGGAAGTGTAGAACAATGATCGCCTACTTCCTGAAAGGACATGGCACATAAAAAGAAAAGATTAGCAGGACGTAATGGTTGTGCGAACTAACTAGCGTGCTGGCCATTACGCCAAGTCGAAGTGCTCCGATTAACTAAGCGAAGCTTAGATGTGGTACAAGGCCGAAAGTATGGAGCACCCAGCGAGGATCGAACTATAATTGATATTGAGTAAAAAGACGAACACCAAGCTAAGAGCTACAAAGGATAGCATGTTGTGGAGAGCCATGATCGCCAACGTTATGAAAGGACATGACGCACAGAATCAAACTCACTACACAGTAGTAATTGATGCAGCGATACGAGCCATCTTAAAACGCAATGAAACAATAAATGCACATTTATACGTTCAGCAGCTGCAACGTGTCCATAAAGCTTTGAGTCATGATCGCCAGCGTTATGAAAGGACATGACACATAGAAGAAAAAGAAATAGTGTCTTTCCCCCTCTTACCATGTGATCAAAACGGAATAGTCCATTACTCATGAGGTATTGGCACGGCGTAACGGTTGTGTGAACTAACGAAGGGAAGAACAAACACAATTATAATAGGATTTTATGTCCGCTGACTTGAGATGGAACAATTACATTGAATCAATAGCTTCATCCACCGCAAGAAAAATCCACCTATGTTGCGCCATAAGTTTTTCTCGCCCGAGTGCATCCTTCAAATCTATAAATCAACCATTCGCCCTTGCATGGAATATTGCTGCCATATATGGTCTGGTGCCCCCGCTGTTCGTTTTAATGTCCTCGACAAGATCCAGAGACGGATATGCAATGTGGTTGGTCCTAACCTGGCATCTAGTCTATAGTTGTTCTCTCACAGACGTGTCGTCTCCTCACTCTGTCTTTTCTACAAATACTTTCACGGTAACTGCTCCGGCGGGATACTTTCTCTAGTTCCCAAACTGCATGAATTTAAGCGTACTACTAGGCTGGCATCACGGTCCCACCATTTCACTGTCGAAACGGTTAAATGTAGCCGTCTCTTCTACTCCAATAGCTTCATGTCTTGCACTTACCGTCTGTGGATCTCCGTTCCTCTTACTTGCTTCCCTGATAGCTATAATCTCCAATTATTCAAATGCAATGTCAATCGACATCTCCAGATGCCTTGATCTAATTCTCCGTCCTTCTCGTCATTCTTTCCTCTATCACGCCGCCTCTTTACTCTTGCTCCCACTCTGTAAACCCCTGTGTACTAGTGGCATCCCGCCTTGCTTGGGGTGAAACGCTTAAAAAAAAAATACTTTTTTTAAAAATATATCATGACTCGTGATGAGAAATGATTTACATACGACAATGATTTACATACGACAATGATTTACATACGACAATGTCCAACGCAAAGCAGTGGACTGACCTCCAAAAGTCTTCTTTGAAGAAACTAAACGTTGTGCATGTGACGGGATTGTCGGTGCATTGTTCATCCAGAGTTCTTAAAGTAATTTACTAAGCGAAGCATAAAAGGGGTGCAAGGCCGAAACTATGAGGCACCTAGTGAGGATCGAACTCACTACACCGTAGGAATTGATAAGGCGATACTAGCTTGCTGAACATTACAGCACGTCGAAGTGCTCCGATTAACTAAGCGGAGCTTAGATGTGGTACAAGGCCGAAAGTATGAAGCACCCAGTGAGGATCGAACTATAATTGATATTGAGTAAAAAGACGAACACCAAGCTAAGAGCTACAAAGGATAGCATGTTGTGGAGAGCCATGATCGCCAACGTTATGAAAGGACATGACGCACAGAATCAAACTCATTACACAGTAGTAATTGATGCAGCGATACGAGCCATCTTAAAACGCAATGAAACAATAAATGCACATTTATACGTTCAGCAGCTGCAACGTGTCCATAAAGCTTTGATCGAAAAGTATGCTCGTTAATAGGAAACAATCTTGTTCCCGCCCATGACAACGCGGAGCCACCTACAGCAATAATGGCACAGGAAGAAATGTTAGAACTCCGTTGGCCTTTTCTACCCCCAGCCGCCATATTAACCTGACTTTGCACAAACCGATTATTGAGTTTTTTGATTGCTGTAAAATGCTTTAATAGGCAAATCCTTTTCTAATGAAGACCAAATTCGAAAGTATGCCGTAAACCTTTTCTCGTCAAAACCTGCCGAATCTTACTCAAAAAATTACAGAAGAATTTGCCTGATAAAGTGGCAATATGTGATTGCAAATAATGGGGAATCTATAACTGAATAAAACGTGTTTGTACCTTTTTTAAGGATAAGATTGATAAACTAAAACTGATGTTACTGTAAATTGCGGCGTACAAGTCGAGTTTTCAAGCCTTAAAAAATCTTTCCAATAACAGGAGTCGACTGATATGGCGGGTATAAAATGCAAATCTTTACTACTGAGTTGTAAATAATTGGGACAGCCTTCCTAACAATTATTGTATACCACTTATCGTACCTCCAGCAGAGTGCCACAAATATATCCCACTAAAACAAAACTTCTGTTTGCTGAACAAATTTGGCATACTAACACAGAAATTAATAAAAACTAATAAAACAATTCAATATTCTATTGACGCTACAGAACTTATCACGTTTTACATCTGATGTAAAAGGTCAGTTAGTGATACTATGTTTGACAATAACATAATGCGTAACAGTATTATCAAAAAACTACATGGTATGTTGTGTAATCTATGGTATTAATATTTTATACAAGTTGATATTGACTTTAATGCATTTATCAGTAGACCTGAAGAATTTTAAATGCTACCTAAGTTATACCGATACAATATACGGTACTTGCCGGTGTGTATTATATGTTGTTTGCTATACGGTGCATATAGAAAGATGTTACTGTTAGTGTCTCAATATACAGATAATCGATGTGACTTTGTCCAGTTTCGGCACAGGTTATCGTATACTGTAACCTAACTTCATTTACGCGTAGATCTAAATTTTGTTGCCACTGTTAGCCTACCATATGTTTGGGGGTCAACCTATACTAATAATAGGCCTAATTCAGAATTTTGAGGTAAAAATACTGAGGTCGAGTTGTACGGCAGGTCGACTTGCACGGCAGGGCGACTTGCACGGCAGGTCGACTTGCACGCCAGGTCGGCTTGTACGCCGGAATTTACGGTGTTTATGGCCCAACCTAATAGTAATACATTCTTTTATCATAATAATGAATATATTATCTGGGTATCACTGATTTTTTTTTTAGTTTTTCATTTATTTTCCCACATTATTTTTAAATAGAAATCATCGTGTAAATGTCATGTCTTTTCTGGGCGTTGGCGATCAGTTACTTCCTTATGTGTAAATGGCCATGTCTTCTTTGCAATATAGTGGAATGGTTTCACGTCGCCTTTTGCACGGTTTTCAGAAATTTCCTTCTCTTAGCTTGGTTGCCCCCCCAAGGATTAAAGAATGCAGTCTACGCTGCTATTTACCTAATAGATGTAGAGAAAACAAATAAATTCTTACCTTTTCCAAGGGCAATAGTGCGAAGAGAGCGTAACAGACTACGACAGAAATGGAACTCTTCTTGCCCATAACGCCTTCGTCTTGTTCAAAATTATTTAACAATGGACTCCTACTGATTAGGAATTAGCAAGAGTACAAGCAAAGCTAACTTTAAATTTTAAACGTAATAAAATTTTGGCTAATTTATAAAGGAATAATTATAAAATTTACGAACAGAATACGATTTTACAAGCTTATGGGACACTTTCAACTGAGCTCGTAGTAACGAAACGTATTTTATTAAGGACACTTATTGAGGAAAAAGGGCTCGTAGAATTTAACACACACAAGACGTGTTCAAGGCAAAAGAGACAGGGGAAAGATTCAAATAATCTCTCTAACGAGCTTGTAAATGTATGGCAGAATAGTGGTTGAGATAGCAATCTTTCGTAAGAGCATCAAAGTATAAGAAGATTTGGAGAGCCAT